GGGAAAGAGAGGGAGAGGGAGAGCTTTGATAGACAAAGGAAAAAGAAAAAGGTAGGGGGAAAAGTTATCCTGTTTTCATCCATCTCACCTGCATAATTCGCTGTGATAAATCAGTTGAAGCTGAGAGGTCAAAAGTAGAGTTTGTGATAAAACTAGGAGCAGAATCATTGGATTTGGCTTCTCAGTTGCAGAAGGCAGAGAAACAATAAATACAGAAAGATACAGCAGGTAAAAGGTAATAGTTAAATATAGTAAAAATGTGTTTCTGAATAAAGGCAAAAAAGAGAAATGTTTTCACAGCAAAATATTTGATGAAAAAATCCTCAAAATGTAAACAAATTCATGGGAAAAGTTTGATTTTTCTCTCACTGAGATAAATTCTTATGGTAAAAAAAAGGCAACAAATGTGTGTATTGTGGGGAAAAAAAAGTTGGTAATGTTTTTGGCTGTATATGTTTCAATAAAAAAAACCTCTTTTCTAAGACCAAACCAAGAACATGCTTTTTAATTTTTTTTTACCTTTATCACAGCTGTCCCCCGTGTATCCGCTGCTGCATTCGCAATACGGTTTCCCAAGTCCTGAAAGCCTGCATTTGCCATGTTTACACCTGATGGATTGGCAGGGGTTAAACAGCATTTCCTCTTCATCACAGAGGACTCCCCCATGTCCCTGCAGGCATTTACAACTGTATGAAAACGCATTGATCGGCAAGCAGGTACCATGCACACATCTACAGGGGAAACAAGCCCAAGAGAATAAAAATAAATTATTCATCAAAGTTCAGGCTAAGCAACATTAACTACAAATACTTTGGACTGTACTCAGAAGAAATTGCTTTTGTTTCTAATGGACTTTTTCAGTGAGATGCAGTGAAGTGGTTTATAATTGGTATGCAGGTTCACAAAAAACAAGCTGCAGTACAGAACTCTGTCTCACCAGAAAACAGCCACTGTAGATGTGTTATGGAAGGCTTTTAAAGGCCACAGTTATTAAAACCGACGTTTCCCGTCTACCTAAATTTTCCGCACACTTTTGAGAAGAACACAACAAAATCAAGCCCAAATGTAATCCGCTAGAATTAAGCAGAGAAGAAGGATACTCACCTGAAATTCTGGTTCTTGTATAATTTAAAAAAACCCCATATTGTCACTCATGAACTATGGGGTCCCAGCACAAAAACAGGTCAGGCACTTCCTAACTGAAACTTTTCTGACCCAGCAATGGCAGTTTCAAAGCTGAACACATGCTCCCCCCTCACATGCATGAGTCTGCATTGCCAACTGCCAGTAGCGTGGTCATATAATGTATGAGGCAGGTCTTCACTTCACTGAAAGCCAGCAGCACTCATCTAGTACTTATGCAGAAACTCACACTAGATGAGGTTGCATATTATCAAGTCTCACCCAAGTGATTAAACTAGCTACTCTCTCAGCTGAGCTTTGGTAAACATTTGTGACAGGCTCAATCTTGTTGTTAGACAAAAAAGGCTGTGATTAACTCATCTGCTGCATCTGCTACGTTCTGAGGTACAGTATGGGAACACACAGCTGGTCTTACTTCTCTTGACAGAGAAGTGGTGTTTCCCAAAAGGAGGATGTTTAATTACCTGTTCCTAGGTGTAAGCTGAAGATTGGGGGAATTCATCTTCTGAAAACATCACCAATGACTTGGAATAAAATCACTTCCCTTTGTTCATTTGGTGGCACAGGGTCAATAACTTTCTTCCTAGAAATAATGTTATTTTCTTTAACTGTTGTCTTGATACACAAGTGTTCTATCTACATACTGTTTCCTAGGGAGACCACAGTGAAGATTCTTCTGTAGGGAGGAATGCAATCCTGATGTTCAAGGTCACAGTCACCCTCCCTAATGTTTCTCCTCTCTAACGTTTTTCTGTCTGTGTGGTAAGATACCTGAGCCCACAACCTCCTTAATAGGTTGTGGCAGCCACCTAAATAAATATATAAATAAATAAATTAAAAGCTTTAGATTAAAAAAAAAAAATCCCAGTTGATCTAAAATAAAATTCTTTGTTTCAATTTGAAGATGGCAAAAATTCATATAAAATTGCATTTCATAGTAAAAGAAGAGTTCTGTTAAGAACAACATCTCATTTTGAAATTTTTTAGGTAACAGTCTGTATTTCTGGAAACTTTTTGCTCTGTACTCTACTCCTTCAGTACAGTAAGAAATTTGGTAAAACTGAAAAGAATGCACGACACTAACTTTGACAGACTTGCATTAACTATTTAAAACTGTCTCAGTTTATAAATATCAACAAGTTCCACTCCCCAGTGAAATCTACATTACAATTTTCCATCTGTACCCTTAATTCTATGCAAGTGCTTTAGGCATGGTGTAACTTGGAGGAAAAAGAGTATGGGAAGTCATTCTCATCACAGGATATCTAAATGGAAGGCACAACACATAGCCTCCATTCAGATATCCAGTTTGGGATTAAAAACTGCAAATATAAAACTGAACAAATAGCTTAAGCACCTCCAACTTCCCTATTATGCAAGAGTGTACTTTTGAAGCAACTATGTTCCCTAAAAAATTCCAAATTGTACCTGTGGTTGAAGTCTGATATTCCAAGACTGTTAGATTAAGCAATTCAAAATTGAAGGCTTGGACAGTATCACAAGGCAGATAGCTTTTGTTTAGTTTTCATTATGTTTAGCATTTGATCTGTTCACCATTTACAAAACAACCACTTTTAGGACATCTGATGTATGAAGTTACTCAGGTGACACTGACATCATGTCATATTCTATACAGGCTGTTTTAGATATCAAAGCAATCTGTGTCAGGATCTTTGGTAAAGTTCTGCTTGACTTAGAAGATGATTAAATCTTAGCTAATGCCAACTCTCATACTTTTGCTTCCACCTGTTCTTTGAAGCCCTAAATTTCATCTTCAGACTGTACTGAAAGGAACATCAAGCTAAGTGCAAACTCTTGGGCACAGTTTCATCTTATCTAATTTTAGGTACCTATGTCAGGCACCCAAGCTAGATGTATAATTGCCATAAGCTCCCCACACAGTCATGGAGAGAAACGAGCTTATCCAGAGGGTGATTAGACCACTTGAGGTCTAATTTACTCTTTAGAAATGTGTTTATTCCTTTACTGACTATAGAGCAAACTTTGGTCACTATGTTCCTAAGTGAAGCACCTAGATTTAGTTAAATAAATCTAAGCCTTAAGCCTTTTCATGGTGTGCAGGGATCTCTAAAAGATCCCCTACATTTTCAAAACAGAGATCACAGTGACAAGTCTGTTTCTCAGATAAAGTGGAATGTTATACTGTATTAGACAGACAAAATGTATATGTATTCAATAGACAGGATTTAGAGATGAATCAAGAAATACAGAATCAAATTCCCCAGGAACTAAAAAACAAAAAAACTCTCCTTCACTCCAAATAAACAATTTTGGTTGGGCTTTCTCTCCTAAAAGCTGTATACAGCTGAAACAAAACCAATACTTTCAAGACCTAACAAAATACTAATGTTGTGCTCACTTAATTCTATCCTTGATACGGCCTGTACCTGATACTTGCCAAGTTTTGTAATTTACTGCAAAAAGCACTCACTTTGGGTGCTGATATGTATAGTTATAAGAACCTATACAGAATCTAATTTTTCAAGGACACTTCAAAGAAATTCTTTGGGTTTTCTTATTATAGAACTTGATGGTTACAGTTCCATGTTATTTTTTACTCCCAAAGTATAAAATGCGATATACATCGCATTGGTATTTCTCAACCTGCTGTGACTTCCTTTCTTTATCTCTTAAGTTACTGTGAAAGAGGACAGGGTAAGAAGACAACCCATAAACAATGAAGTGCTATAATGATATGCCTCAAAAATTCACTGCTGTGGCTTTGGGAAGAGTTCAAAACTTAATAGCACTGAAAGAGTCCATAACCAATGTAAACAATGCTAGCTGCATTGTAAAGCATGCTAACTGGTGTATAAAGCTTTAAAGGGTCAGACTTTCCACACACACTATGTGAAAAGATCACTTTAACTTCATTTTATATGGGAGTTGAAAATCATCTTATTAGAATCTCTTAGCAAACTCAGGCCACTGGTCCTCAAAAGTTATCTAGGCGAGAGCTCTGAAAAAGCAGCAGCCAAAAGATCCAAGCAGGCTTACTTTAAAAAAAAAAAGAAAAAAGAGATATTTGCCAAACTGTAGTAAGGACAGTGGTAAGGGCAAACAGAATGACATCTTATTGCCCATGACCAATAAATCCTGAAGAACTTTGAACTTCTGAAGTTTCTGATCTTCTTGTGCTGGGAGGCCATGAGCCAAAAAACTGAATCTGTCTCTATAATAAATTTAAAAGATGAATATGCATAGATATTAATACTCTCATATATGCATATATACTTATCTTTCACTCTCTCTTTACACATACACATACACGACCCTCTCTATAAACATACATAAAATGCCCCACCTAAAATATTCTAGTCAAATCAGCAAAAAGAATTAGCACATACGGACTTAAACAGAAGTTTACCATAAAGGTAGATCTATTTTCCTGCTAAAACCTGGGGTACTGTGAAAATATAAAAATATTAGATATATCTATTGTATTAAGTTTTTAAAACATGTTAGAGGAGAATAATAATAATAATTGTATTTCCTCATTCTGTACAATTATAAATAAGCAAATAGATTTTTTTTGCCATTTGCAACTTCTTCTAAATGATTTTTGTACCAAATGTCATACCAACATTTGCATTGGTGTAACTCATTACAGAAGTAGCCCCTACAGAAGTATGTAAGAGCATATCCCAGGCTTCAGGCAGAACTTCAGTGAGATGTGTGTATCTGCTCCCCTGAAGTGGGGACTTTTCCTCATTTAGTTTATGGAAAGAATATACTATAACCTGGATGCTGTTTTCACTTTTACATGCCCAGGATATTTTGTTTCTTGCTGAAAATAGCATGAACTTTTATGAAAAAAATAGACATAACAGGAGACATATGCATGTTATACTATTGTTCTGTCTTAAGGACATACTTATTTCCAAGACATGGGTCATTAGTTTGTTGATCACAGAGGGGTCCAGTCCATCCTCCTTCACACTCACAGGAAAAGCCTGACTGGCTGGTAGCATGGCATGTTCCATGCACACAAACTTTCTTGTGACAAGGCTCACAACCTGGCAGAATTCCCACTTGCAGTGGCACATTTCTGAAGTCCTGGAGTTCGCTGTTGATATACAGATTACGGATGCAACCATGGAAGCTGGTGCCGTTCTGTCCTGGAGATTGGCGTAAAGCTGCTATGTTATTTTTCACAGGCATGCCTAGGAAATCAATAACAGCAAATAATCAATGTAATCTTTGGTAGAATTTTCTATACCATTTTCCCTGTTTTTTAAACATTTTTAAAGAAATATTTCTTCCTAATTAATTATTCTTAGATATTCAGCCTACAACCATGAGCAATGATCTAGTATTTGGAAATTGTCCTGTTGTCAAGCATGCATGTAAACCAGCTCCAGACCCGTAAGTCTCTAGGCCCAACTAGAGAGATGTATGTAGGACTTCATACAGGAAGCTCACAACTGTGAAAAGGTTCAGATACATGCCTGTTTTTGACCTAGTGCAATTAAGTCCAGAGTAGCATATAGTTTCTGAATCTTGGAAAAACAAAAGTTGTTGAAATGTAGCAGTTGATACATGATTTTTTGTAAGCTGCTGATACTCAAATCCAGAAGAATTTAGTAGGACCATCAATTTGGAGCTGGCATACATATTTCGAATGTGAAATTTTACTAGTGAAAATTCTTGGAAAGAAAAGTTCAACAGGTGGAGGTTCCATTACTTTCAAAAATATTTTTGTTCAGCATGTCTCTAAAACAGATTAATAAAAAAGCCACTCATAGTTTGCCATTACAGTTTTAAACAAAGATAGTCAATAATAACAATAATTGAACATCAAAATACTTATGTGTAGATATATCTAGATATGCAAATGCCCCTGATTTGACCATTTTCAGAGTAATTCCTCTGTTGTAGTCTATAATTGTTACAGGTGTAATTGGAGCAGGAGGTATATGCAATCCAGTTATCCTGTTGTGATCAGTTAATCATTTAAGACTAATTCGGAAGGAACATTACTGTTAAACATTGTTTCCTTATAAAAATGAAGTTTCTTCTACTCCTACCCCCTGTTTTTTTTTCCTTTTTTTTTTTTTAACTTATTCCCAACATATTGGCCTATATTAGTTAGTACTTAAGATATTACATTCAAAGAATTAATACACAAATGCCTAAATACCTCCTGGGACTAATGAGTAAGGGAAATCAAAGTGTACTGAACATTAGAAAAGGATCTGTTTACCTGAAAATAAATATGCTTATTAGCTGCACGGGTTTACTCATAGGCAAAAGTAACAATTTCCATTCCGGTACTTAGTAAGATAACAACCAGAGAAAGAGGTAATGTTCTGCATAGTTGCTCCTTAACCATGTAAACTGATATTTCTAATGGTTTTATATAGTTACTCTGAACAGTTAAGAGTAATGCAGAAGTGCTATGCAACCTAATGAAGTAGACCTGCCTTTCATTTAGAGGTTATTGTAATTTCATTTGTGCTAAGCTTCAGTGGTTATAGAAATGAACAATATTGCATCAATACTGCTGAAGAGCCTAATCTTCTTTGATCTTATCAGTTAAGTAAAATAGGGTTGGGACTATTATATTAAAGAACTCAGACTGTAAACAATCATTAGTTTCAATTTCCTATTCTCAAAATCCAGGGACAAGGCAGTCATCAAGGCCTCTTCACCCTGCTGTCTCCCTTGAAAGCAACACTCAGCAAATGTTTAGGCATATGGCCTGAGGTATCTAACAGCAGAATAGATGCACTGAATTTATCTATTGTAAAAATAAAAGCTGCGTAAAACTAAGTACACCAATGCAGTGCTAAATGAGATGTTATACTTGTAAGTGTCAGGAAATTTAGATATGATTTCTGGAAACCATATAAGCATGTATCACACCAGGTAATATGAAGTATATCACATGTGATTCAGAGAATTTTTTGTCTAAGATCTCTAATATGGAAGATATTTGGAAACACAAGCTTTTAGCCTATACACTTTTTGCTTCTTCTTGCAAGTTACCAAGTGTTAGAAGGCCAAAGTGTGTGCAAAAGCTGCTCATATTCTCTGGCAATATTTCCTAGATAATTTTTAGATAAAGGTTCTTTATCAGTTAGGAAAGAACTGCCACAGAAACGATGCAGACAAATATTTTAGCTCTATTTTCCAAAAGATAAGAAAGTAGTTCCTGTCCCCCTTTAAGCTTTTGGTCACTGAACCTGACTACAGGTAAATTACTAAATTACTGCTCAAGGAGGCAAATGGTAAGACCTCTATTAAATAGCAGTCATACAATAACACTGTCAAAACGAGTATCTCGTTCAGAAGCTGCTAGAACGGAGCAGCTACAAATGAAAAGCAGCTGATGCCCTACCTGTCTTAGAAATAGGGACTTCCGTGAAACAAGGTGCCGCTCTCAACTAGTAAAATATGCTCTAATTTCTGAGAGAAGAATGTTAAGTATCAGTGTGTGACCCTTTTGAAGAATTTTTGAGAAGAAACAGATTGGTCCTTAAGACTTCTTACAAAAAGCCATGGACTTTCAATATGATTTACGGAAATCTGTTATAGAAAGACTGAAAAATATTTAGCATGTGTATTCTGACCACACAAGAGAGCCATACAGTTGGAAAAAGGTCAAAAAAAAAAAAAAAAAATTGATTAGCACACTTTCTGTAAATATAAAGCTAAATTACCTCTTCCAAACCAACCCAAATATTGTGACCCAAGAATAATTTTGTCAAAAAAAAAAGGGGGGGCGGGAGGGGAGAGAGAGAGAGAGAGAGAGAATGAGAGAGAAAACCATGCAAAGGCTTGCTGTCAAGTCTGAATTTCATCCTGCCAGCTGAGGTGATGCTTACCAGAAATGCCATTTTAACAGGAAGGTGATGAGAGTAAGTGTAAGCTACATGATGATATAGGTGTCAAACTAAGACTTTGGCAAAGATAAAAATACTGCATAAAATCCTAGTGAGAATTTGAGTTCTTAACTGATGGAAATGTGTGATCGAATTCTCTAAAAATTCTAGATACAGTTGGATAAGAAAAAATTGAATGAATCTCAAAAAGATGGGCAATATAAAGATACAAGAGTGAAAGTTAACTGTCTCAAGAATTTTAAAGATCATAAATAGATAAACATAGATAAAGAACAGAAAAGTTTAGGAGCTGAATATCAATCTATTAGGGGTTTTTTTGCTTTATTTTGTAATAATGTGCTTCTAATAATGGTTTTCATTCTGTTTTGGACCAACATTTTCTATGACAGCAGAAATAATTGTCTGCTTGGAGACTGAATGTGAAGAATAGAAATAGAAGAAACACAGGGCCTCTCTAAAGAATATGCACTAGGATGAAAAAGACTTCTGCTCCTAGGAATCAAACCACTGAAGGAAAAGGTTATTCCCAAAAATTATTTCTTCTGATACTTCAAAATGATGATGCAGATTAATATGATTCTTCTAATGGAGACACAGATCTGCAAGGTGAAGAAGCAAGGAGGAGAACCACATGTCACAAATCAACAAGGAAGTGTTAGCACTGCACAGAATAAATGTTTATAGTTAGCAGTCTAGCCTCATTTCATTAAAAGGTGCCCAAAACAGACAGCGGGATCATTCTGCACTAAGCTCAGCTTTCAAGAAGTAGTAAAATTGGCCTTAGCAGTCATTAAATAACAAACTGATGTTGACAATACAAGTAAGCAAGCACACAGTGTCTTATTAGAATCTAGGACCATCTTCTCCTTCCAAAAAATGTGGCATAGGACACTATGTAAACAACACTGCAGAAGTGATACACATGAAAAAAATGCAGATGTGCTTCCACAGGGCCATGCTGCTTTGAAGATTCATGATATGAAGCGATTTTAAAGGCAGCTCATGCGTTTCATAATTTTAATTCTTTTCTCTGGTGGTATGGGGAGTGATGACTAATGTTGAATCTGAAAAGATTTGACAAAAAAGCTGAAGTGTTTCAAGGAAAGAATGGGGATTTTCAGAGACAAAAGTCAACTTACCCCTCATCACTTGTAACTGAGGCACTTGTTACACCAGTTTTATAGGAGAAATAGACTATTCTTGGTCTGAATCAAAGCAGCTTCCTGTTTTTCTTTCCCATTAAAGATAAATCTAAGCAGCTACCCTGAGCTTTTGTATATATTTAGAAAGAGGATAAATAGCACCTTTGCTAGAGAAAATAGGCATCTCACAAATGTACTACTGGAAGCATAATTTTTTGCAAGGAGGCAAGATGTTCAAGTCTAAAAACCTATTCTCAGACACAAAACAGTTTTTAAGAATTAGACAAAATGAAAAAGAAAGTAGGTATTCTTTCAGAATAGAATCTGAAAGATTCTGAAAGAACAGATCAGAAGGAGACTCCTTAAATGTCTCCTAGAAGAGCGTAAAGTTAAACTAAGTAGGAGATGAAGATTGGTAGATCATCAGCAGTATTTAAAAATCACGCTGAATCTCTGATCACTAAAAACTTAGACTTGCTACCAAGGACAGTAAGAAGGCACAAAGTAGTGGCTGAAGTTTCTGACTCTTTTACTAGGTTATGCAGGCCCATCAGAAATTCAACAGAAACTGCTGGTTAAAACAATGGGCTTGAATCCATAGTTCTACAGAGCAAATTGCAGCAAATGATCAAAAATGTTTCAAATAGTTTATCTCCACAATTACCTACTACCAGTTTTACTGAAACAAAAAATTCTTTCTTCTCAAAACAAAACAAAAAACCCCAAATCCTGCCATATACTGTGAGGCAACTGTCCAGTTGGTTCCCCTCTTACCTAATGCCATAACTCCTATCAGCCCTAAGCAGTAAGATCTCCAGACAGAAATTATTCTTCATGTCTTTATACCTTGCTATCGTTTCCTGCAGATACGTGTGCAGTGAAATAGAAATGTAAAACATGACTGAAACAGAATGCTACCATGCTACACCTTCTGAATAGGCATTACTGCATCCTCAGGAAGCTAAACAATGTTAAACACACTTCTTCAGTACAATAAAAAGCTACATAACAGTAGAAAATTACAGAATTTTACAGTGGACATCAAATATCCGTACTGATAAAAAAGCAACAGTGCAGTTTGAGGACATACTATTTGTTAAAATTACAACTATTGAGATTAACTGCTGAAGTTTCATCTTAAGGTGTTATCTCAATGAATAAGTCTCTTACCGTATATTTATTAATGTATGTTACCAGAGTAAATTAGCTATGATACTGTGATCCTCTTACCTCCTACATAGAGCGGAGAATCAAAATTCAGAGTGGATTGCTTGGACAAATTGGTAATTATCTTGGGGCTTCCTCCATCAATAGATAAAGACAGAATCTGATCCATAGCTAGCAGCTCCACAATGTGGAAATTGCCATCATTAATAGTTTCCACACTGTAAAATAAACATTAATATTAATTTTAAACAATTGATGGTTTGGTTAGAACAGGTTTTGGTCAGAACAGGTTTTGGTCGTCTTCTCCTTGAATAGTTAATACAGCTTCAGAACAGAACTTCTCCAGGAGTGCAGTCTCCTGAAAGCTAGATTTTAAGCAAGAACATGCATGTATGCTTAAGAGCTAATACAATATAATATCCCATCAATAACACTCTATTAATAATACATATTGTAAATTATTAGCCCTTTTTCATTCAAGTTATTCCTGTCCTCATCAAGTAACGAACTGTGTAAATATAGATGTTATTCTAAACATCAGTTAAAATACATTTACTAGGCAAGAAGCCGAACACAAAAAAAGTTTAAAGTTCTTCTGCAACAATGATCAAAGGGCTGGAACACCTCTTCTATGAAGAAAGGCTGAGAGAGCTGAGGTTGTTCAGCCTGGAAAAGAGAAGGCTCCGGGGAGACCTTATTGCATATGCAATACTTTCAATACTTAAAGGGGGCTTATAAGAAAGATGGAAAGAGACTTTTTACCAGGGCCTGTAGTGATAGGACAAAAGGTTTTAACTGTTTTAAACTAAAAGAGGGTAGATTTAGATTAGATAGAAGCTATAAAGTAAAAGAAGATGACGTAAAGAAGAAGTTCTTTAATATGAGGGTGGTGAAACACTGGGACAGGTTGCCAGAGAAGTTGTGGATGCCCCATCATTGGAAATGTTCAAGGTGAACATGCATGTATGCTTAAGAGCTAATACAATATAATATCCCATCAATAACACTCTATTAATAATACATATTGTAAATTATTAGCCCTTTTTCATTCAAGTTATTCCTGTCCTCATCAAGTAACGAACTGTGTAAATATAGATGTTATTCTAAACATCAGTTAAAATACATTTACTAGGCAAGAAGCCGAACACAAAAAAAGTTTAAAGTTCTTCTGCAACAATGATCAAAGGGCTGGAACACCTCTTCTATGAAGAAAGGCTGAGAGAGCTGAGGTTGTTCAGCCTGGAAAAGAGAAGGCTCCGGGGAGACCTTATTGCATATGCAATACTTTCAATACTTAAAGGGGGCTTATAAGAAAGATGGAAAGAGACTTTTTACCAGGGCCTGTAGTGATAGGACAAAAGGTTTTAACTGTTTTAAACTAAAAGAGGGTAGATTTAGATTAGATAGAAGCTATAAAGTAAAAGAAGATGACGTAAAGAAGAAGTTCTTTAATATGAGGGTGGTGAAACACTGGGACAGGTTGCCAGAGAAGTTGTGGATGCCCCATCATTGGAAATGTTCAAGGTCAGGTTTGATGGGGCTTTGCGCAACCTAATCTAGTGGCAGATGTCCCTGCCCCACGGCAAGGGGGGGTGGAACTAGATGATCATTAAAGGTCCCTTCCAACCTAAACCATTCTGTGATTCTAATGTTATTTCAGGATATTATTTGCGTGTATGTATCCTACATGTTGCATAGTATTGGGTTTACATATTTTGCAAGTCTGAAGGCCTGAGTTGACTCCAGTGATATATAAACCTACTATTTCATGGAATATGGAACTGCATCTAACCTTAGTCCAGACAGCTCCACTGACGCTAGCAATAACGTAATTTGTTATCTTTATTAGGCGTGATTATTTCTGTGTGTTCAGCTTCTGGCTAGTACAGTGAATACTGTATTCATCTTTTTTTCTTGCCTACATATAGCATTTCCTTCTGCTTACTAACAAGATATGAACCCACTAGTAGGAGAATGCCCGAAGGGTGTCATGCAGAAAAGGCTTGCTTCAAGCATGGTGCTTATGCTGTGTAAGGGCAAGCCTACACATGTTACTGGGTACAAGAAATGGCTGCCTATGCTTACCAGTCTCAATATCTACACAGCAAATCTTTAAGTGTAGAGTAACTACTCTGCACTTGAACACAGTTTAAGTACATCAGAGAAGGAAGAATATTATTACTCAATGCTCGGCCTGAATATATCGTTGTACTTACATTACTTCTAGCCCATTTTCCACTGGAGAATTAAGAGCTGAATGTATGGCTGCATGGAAGTTATGACAATGAGCTATAGTCCAGAGACGAAACATTATAACCATTCCCATGAGAGCCTTTATTTGCTTCAGGGCACTATCAAATAAGTGAGCTTAAGCCTTTGAAAAAAGTTATTTAAATGAACCAATTGTATGATAGCCTGAGACGGACTGAACAGTCATACAGTCAGTTAGCTCTTCTCATTAGGAAAGCAGCATAGCTGAAAGGGATTAGCTTCCTAAATCTCAAGGCAAAAATCAAGCAAATTACCTTATAACATCCTTAGCGATGTTTTAATTAACCTAACTGCTTTTGTCCTGGAACAGATCAGAAGCACTCACATGGTCGTTTACAGCTGTGACACATTAAATAGCTTCTTAGCTATTTATTACCAACTCTAACTATGTGGACAGGCTCAGCTCAATATGGATAAAAGATCTGCATGGTAGCATGCGTGCTTTACATAAACTCAGCTCTATGTGAAAGCGCAAACACAGAACAGAGCAGACACTGGCAGAAGAAACACTTTTCAGGAGTGGGCAGGAGGGGAACTGCCAGGTTCCATGGGGGGAAGGAAAAGGTCAGGGTTCATCATTCCTAAAGAGTAAGGTCTATTCAAGGTATGAAGAGGTTTGTTTGTTGTGATCAAGCAACAAGAAAAGTGCCAGGATTAATTTATTTAACACATTTCAATGAATCCGGGAAAAAAGTTGTGCTAAGAAATCAAAATGCATATGACTTTTTGACTTAAGTAAGCAGGAAACCCTAATATAATGTTCTTGTCCCAAGGAAACTTATGTTATTTTACAACTTATTAGCCTTTCACACAATAGTATTTAAAAGGATGAGAGCAACACAGAACATGCATTTTTAAAGCAAGAGGTCATTCCAGGGATGTATAAAACATAACGTGTAAAGGGAATGTGTCTCTGTTAAGAGTGATATTAAAAGCTTCTAGTTTAAACTGTTTTACTGGTAAAAATTTACTGCGGAAAGAGGAGCCCTCCTAGGTAAGGGTGGTTTAAATTAAAGGGGAAATAAACACTAGGCATATCTGTGCAATATTTCCTGCCAATGCACTTATATTACTTCTAGCCCATTTCCCACTGGAGAAATGAGAGCTGAATACAGAGATCCTAATGAAAAGCTATAAGAAAAACTGATTTAAAGCTTCTGGAACTCTGTAGAAGAATAATTATTTGGGAAGAAATATTCCCATATTTCCAATAAATATATGATGAAAACTAGTTTATAGAATGAAAAGGTTGTTTTTGTTTAAAAAACATTTAACATTTAAAAATGGACGTCCAGACAGAACAAAACCCAAGTGGATCAACTTTTCCCGAATAACCATCTCCAATGAATTAATTTTCTTTATTGGTCTTGGCACTGCCATCATCTCATCTTGTTACTCAGATTGACAGATGAGTGCTTTTGGGATGATGGCTCTTTCTGCAGTCAATTCCCGTTGGTAAATCCGTTCGCATTCACTCTGCACAGCTAGACTGCTGTTATTGTTGATTCTCCATATTTATCATGATTAAATCATCTGTTTGTAACTTTGTTTTGTTGCTACTGCAAGCACCTCTGTAGGCTTTACAGCTCCCATTTGACTCCTTTTCAACACACCATTTCTTGACTGCCGTTTATATTATAAAACTTCTATTTGAATCTCTCTATTGGCTGTTTTTTTTATTTTGGCCTCTGTTTCAGGCATCTCATCATTGTTCAGGGAAGTACGACTTGTCTTATTCTTTTTCCTATACATTTCCATGAATCTCCACTTCCTTAATGAAATTTGTAAATCTCTTGATAAGCTTCTCAGTTTTAAAATTTTCTTTCTGTCCTTCTCACTGTAATTAACTTCCCATCTTAGTTTGCAAACTATCTACCTTGTTACCAAATCGTTCTTAAACCTCATTGTTCTTAAACATTATGAGTTAAAATGCTCTTTTGTCTTCTTCATATCTCTCTGATAAAACATAATACATGAACTTGTTTTCTTTTATAATTCATCACGTATTTGTACTGGGTCTGGCTGGGATGGAGTCAATATTCTTCATAATAGCTGATATGGTGCTGTGTTTTAGATCTGTGACTAAAACAATGATGATAACACACTAATGTTTTAGCTATTGCTGAATAATGTTTGCACAGTGTTAAGGCCTTCTCTGTTTCTCACTCTGCCCCCCGAGTGAATAGATTAGGGGTGCGCATAGGTAACAAAGGTGCAGAAAGACAACGTACAACGAATGGGTGAAAAGAGCTGAAAAAGGGCAGGAAATGCCACAAAGATCCAAGGAAGGTGAAACAGTAAGAACTGGAAACAGGGATGGCTGGAAACAAAAGTTAGAAAAATAGGAATAGGTTGGAAATGATGAAGGGATTAGAGTATAATGTGTAAAAGATTCTGTGCTACAACATATTCCTTTCTAGAATCTGAAATAGAAATTAAATAATATCTAATTTGTACAGTGATCACTAGATGCACAAACATATATACAAATGTGAAAATGTATATATGGCTTCCAACATACGCACTTCCCTGAAGGGCAAAAGACTTCATTACAGTTGATCTCAGTACCATTACATGACAATTTTCAAATATCTCCTAGAAACTCAACATCATGCTTATTTGAAATGAAAGGGAGGTTGTTAATAATAATAATAACAATAACAATAACAACAACAACGGCAACAACAACAACAACAACAACAATAATAATAATAATAATAATAATAATAAAGTGTGTATCTGCTTCACTAAACAACCATGTGACCCTGTTACACTTCACTACATTTCCCATCCCCTTCTTCACTGCACCTGCATTCTCCACTCGTCACATAATTCAAAACAGTTGATCAACTATGTAGGGGAGAAGCTTCTAATTGTTCTGTAACACTAACCTAATTGGGACTGTTTGTTAATTGATTACTTTGTTATTAATCCCTTCTACATTTACGGTTTTTAATTTTACCTGTGTGAGTATTGTTTTCCAATCTTTTTCTAGAAAACTAGAATGGACAAGTGTGAATTATCAGTATGGTTTTTTTTTTAATAATATAAAGAAACTGTCAAAATAAAAATCAACAAAAATAATTAAACTCCTGACGAAACAATCTAAACTTCTTCTTTAGCACTAGCTCAGATAGAAAAGAAAAATAATCTTAATTTGAATTGTAGTCATTGAGAAAAGTGAATGTTTCATGCAATTTTAAATTTGTGTTAAATACTTCAATCTCCTGTAAAGTCAAATCCTATTTGTAATATATCTGAAAATTCATGCAATTAAAATACATATACTATTTCCACGTTAAACCATTTAATGGAATTGTAAAAAAACCTTATGAAATACATATTGCATCAGAAAATAAAAGCAACCTTAAGATGCTTATTGTAAAAGGCTATGTTTTTACTAAACAACTTTATTTTGTATTTTATAGGAAGGACTTTTTTGCTGTGGAATGCTTTTAGTAATCCGCTAAAACCACAGTTCCCTTGGTGTTATTACCTAACAAAGTTTAGTATTATTTCCCTGCTATATAAACTTAAGCTTTTGATTTTATATTGCCATTTGAGTGCAATCATTTCTAAAAATAATTTATTAATAGAGTGCAGAACAATGTCAGCTCCTACAAACTCCAGCAAGTAAGTATACATTAGATATAATTTTACAACACAAAATGTGTAAATACAGCAAAAAGACGACTGAAGGAAAACTCATTTAACACTTCCCCTTTACTTCTGAATGTATTTGTAGCAACAATAGGGCAATCAAGGCCAAGAAGCGATGCCTGTTGTCTTTTTGCTCACTTTTGCAATGCCTGTCTGCATATTCTTGAGAAGTTACATAAAACCTCCCTGGAAATTCAGGTGGTAATTTTTCAGAGAAATTTGACTTTAAAAAACCCTGAAAAATTATGCTCCAAAGCAGATGTGGATTCTGTCTCTTAATGACTTTGGAAGCAAGAAACGTTTCTTTTTCAAGGGTAGTGCCTTTTTTCGGAATCAAGTTTTTAGCTTTCTCTTCGCTTACCAGGGAAAAGTCTCACATTATATGACTGCCTAACACAGAAGAGAAGAGAAACTTCCATTTCATTTCTGCTTTTGCAGTATAGTTCTGCACTTTACCCTGCACACTAGGAAATTATTTGGCAGTAACATCATGGAAAAAACTCCACTTCCACACAAATGTATAAATATTCTGCTGAAAGCTAACTGTTACTCAGTTTTAATGGATCAAATATATATTATCTTTCTGACACATCTGCATTAGAGTTATTTTCCAAGCCAAATCATGTCTTTTGGCAATAGGTTTTAAATGTCTGACAAGACATTCATTTGCATCTATTTCTTTTAACCATCTATTCAAAAATGTGACTTTGATATAAGGAATTAATACATGTTTTGTTTCAGTTAGAAATCTGTTTCATCTAGGTTCACCTGTAAATAGCAGAGGCTGGATAAGATCCTGTGTCATAACTGACCCTCACTCTACCCCGGTACAGCTCTACCGCTATATGATCTTTATCGCCTTTGTAGAGCAGGATCCCGCTGTCTTCATCTGTGGCAATCTAGTTAAAAGAAAGAAACACTTAGAAAGAACTAAAAATAAATATTAAATTAAAATGCTGTATCAAGTGGATTTCTGAATTTACTACCATAGCCTATTACTTCACTATAAATTTTTTCCTTGAAGGACAACCTGACAAAATTCTTTCTCTTCCTATCAATAAGCCCATCTACTTCAATATGAATATAGACTTATTCCAGTGACTCTTCTAGATTTTTAGCTCAAACTGTGAAAAGCTCTTTAAGCGAGCCAATACAACTTTGGCTAATTTTCCACACCACGAAAAGTCATTTACACTCTTTTCCAGATCAGAATCTACAACACAAGCAATCTTACCTGTAGAGTGATATTGGTTTGGGGACGTATCTTAGCTGAAGGGATTTGTAGATAGGATTCTTTGTTGACAAAGTTTATGCTGATCAGCTTTTCACATTTCTCACCCTGGTAGCCTGATAAACACTGACAGATTGGTTCACTCTCTTTTATGATACACTGGGCTCCATTTTGACATTCATAATTATCACAAGGGCTGGTGCGAGGTAGAACCATTGGTGGTGAAAACTCACAAAACAAGCCACTAAATACAAACAGAAAAAATTAGTATTTCCACAAAAAAAGCAACTTTGACAAAAGACATACATGTTTGTACTGTCTTCGGGTCTTTCTCACCTGTATCCTTCTGGGCAAATACATGTATATCCATTAACTGCATCAGTACACTGCGCTCCATTTTTACATTTGTTGTCCTGGCAGTCATCAAAGTCAATATCACAGTGCTCACCTACATATCCAGGTGTGCAATCACATCTGTGAAACAGGAAAGCAAGTGGGATAGCACAGTGCCTTTTAACAATACAGTGTGCTCATGACAAAGTTAAGGAACTACTGAACTGTTTAAAAGTCAAGAAAAAAAATGCATTACGGTGACTTTGTGTGTAAAGACTATGTAGCTTAATCATGTTATTATACAGGGAATCTACATATGTAATGAATACAGGTTTGCTAGTTACACATGGTTACGCATCTGCCATTATATTGAAGAATTGTGGTTTCAATCTAGAGAGCCCTCATGAATCATTCTGACAGTTGTTCTTGGAATTTATGAGTAATGCAGAATGTTACAGGATGTTGTAAGTGGCTGCGAACACTAAAAATAATCAATATGCTTAGTTGTTGAAACCAAGACAAATAATCCAAGGCTTGTATTATACTGATGGATATTTTCTTTGTCAACTGAACGGGTATGAATGGACCAATGCTCCATTTATACAGTTTAGAGGTTATGCATAAATTTTTTCCCTTGAAGTTCCTCTAGCCTGATTTACTGTAAATAGCTCCATAGTTAGTGAACTAACAGAAGTCTCAAAACACATCCTCTGCCCTCCCTGAGCCCCCACTGAACTAGCAACAGCATATCCTCAAGATATGTAACCTCTTTTTTTTGGTTTTGTTTTTTTTTCCCCCATGCAACTCTCATTGTTAATGCTAGTGGCATTTCTTCAGGGAATTCTCATATATTAGACTGAGTGAATGCCCAGAACTCTGTGAAAAATGAATGGAAAAGATTACAAATTCATGCATCCACATGATTTTTTTTTTTTTAAATGAAGATGTATGTAATTGGTTTCATTAGATCTTGCGATTTCCTCCTTGGTGTTGTCTGTTTTAGTATCTAAAATTTGCTCTAAAGTGCCAACAGTGATTTTAAGTAGCTGTGTAACTTTAAATTAAGTACTTCAATCAAATGTCTCAATTTTTATTCAACATATATGAAGAAGAATATGAATAAGAAAAGAGAAAAAAGAATATAAAGCACACTATTAAAAAGCTGACTGAGATACATGCTTGAAGTTACTGCATGTGTTATTTTCTGATTTAAAATCTCAGAAAGTAACATGGAAGATTAATGAACTAGGCAGTAAAGTATAAGATGCCAAACTAGGTTTACTCAAATGGCGTGAAGAAAATAAACATAACACACAACAATTTAAATGCAAAGTTTTCTATTTTCCAGTTGAAAAATATCAACTTCATTTCATGTTTATTTGAATATTAAATATATTTGACTATTTTTTGCCATATTTTAAATAAAATGTCATTTCATAAGTAGTAGGAATGATAATAAGAGCATACTGTGCATAAAACAGGTGCTCATAACAACAGTTGAAAGCTGCAGGTTTCCTGTATTTATTAACGTAAAGCCTATTAAAAACACTTTAAATAGTGCATACTAATTAAGTATGATAAGGATATGGTATAATTAAAGATTAGTTTTCCTGGGGATGGACTTCTTTAGACTGTACCTTCCAGTGTGCCTTCCTAATAATCTCTTTCACAATTACTTCTCAGAAAGCAGTATAATTATTCCACTTCAACTAAATGCAATTATTTTCCTACTGTCCAAGCTACTAAAAGGGTTTTATATAGACTGTCACATAGACTAACTGCTCTACTCTGCGTTCCTCTTTAAAATCTGACTGGAATTAGAACTGTTAAGGATCAGTAAAATTCAGTAAAACATATTTAAGATAATAATGTAGATCTACATGAAAATAAGGGCCTATTCTGCTGTAATGCTTGATAATAACTGGAATTAGTATTTTGAGAATAGAACTTGCTTCCACCAAAACAAAAGGAAAAGAAGTTAAGCAGGATAAAAAAATAGAAATTTAGACTCAGTTGGACTGTGACAATATTTTAGACTTACTTGTATCCTTTGGGTGTCAAGATACACTTTGAGTCATGCTGGCAAGGATTCAGGTTTTGAGCACAGAAATCTAGTTTCTCCTCACAGAGCTCACCTGAAATGTAATGTACGCTGTCAGTGAAAATATCACAGTGACCTGAAAATACCTGTTTCTATTTTAAAAGTATCTGCTATAACTTTGTTAAACTGAAAAATGCATACTTCATGATATAATAATAAATACTACCTTTATAATAAATA